AAGGAAACAAACAGGGTTGTTGGAGGGGAGGTAGGTGGGGATGGGGTAACTGGGTGATGGATATTAAGGAGGGTATGTCATGTAATAAGCACTGGGTGTTATATAAGAGTGATGAAGCACTGAACTCTACCTCTGAAACTAGTAGTAGAGTATATATTAATTAATTGAATTTAAATTTAAAAATAGTAAAAAAACAAACAACAGTTTTACTGCCTTAAATTACTTGACTACACAAAACTCCAAATATAAATTAACATGTTGCTATATAAATTCTACTTAGGGTTGTATCATGATAAACCACAAAAACACCCTTAACAATAAATTCCACCAAGTAATATTAGTAACCTAAATCAAGCAATCTGAAATGTTTTGATTTCTTCATATATTTACTACAAAATGTATTCTCTGAAGAGAATCATAAAGATGCTGAGCAGGAAAGTTGACAGTTCAAAATTTATGCATTAATGAAAAAATACTAGCTTTTGAAAATGTTTTTTTTAAATTCTCTAATATCAAATTAAACTTTGTTAATAACAGTTAAAATTACTAGATGTTTATAATCTCCAGATGAAAGGTAATGTTATTAAAGCAATTGCCACAGCTGGCAAAGGAAAACATTCTAAAATTGCAAAGAAAGAAAAGAAAAAGAGAAAAAATTCCTCAAAACTTTGGGAAAACATTGGTAGCATAAAAAGTTTATTTTATTTAATATTTTTTGTTTTTCCAGCAACATGTAGCAGAAAATATCTTTTAAGTAGTAATATAAAAGACCCAAGATAGCAAATGTAAGTGTATGCGCTTAAATATCCCATGTAAACCAACTCACAGGCTCAATATATATCGACTTCAATTTATTTTGTGTATTTTTGGCAAGTAGCTTTAAAATTGTAAGGGACATATAACTGAGAAAGAAGGTAGAGAGTACTTTGTTTTTGACTTTGTCAACTAGGAAAAGATGGATCTTCTTCTGAATATTGCTATAATATTTTGTCATAAAAATTCTTTAAGAAAACTAGCAGATGAAGTCAGAAAACGTCAAAGCCCACTAATACAGAATTTTTAATGTACATTTTTGTATCTTTACTTTTTTTAAAGATTTTATTTATTTATTTGAAAGAGAGAGACTGAGGGAGAGAGAGAGAGAGCGAGCGAGCATGAGCAGGGGAATGGGGAAGGGCAGGAGGGAGAACTAGACTCTCTGCTGAGCAAGGAGCCCGACACAGGGCTCGATCCCAAGACTCTGGGATCATGACCTGAGCCAAAGGCAGCTGCTTAACCAATTGAGCCACCCAGGCACCCCAATTTTTGTATCTTTAATAATGCTATCTTTAACCAATCAAGCAACTAAACACAAATATCAAACAATATATATTTGCCTCACTCTCCAAATGTGAAAATTTGGGCTCCTTTCATAGTCATAGGATACCATGTAAGAAGTCAAGGATGGTATTTTTTTTCTAAATACCTTATTTCTTGATTCTGAATAATTAAAACAGACAATATATATATAAAACATGCAGTCCAGTCTTTTGCCAGCTTACTTACCTCGAACCAAGTGAAGTTCTTGCCACTGGGAAGAAAATTGCCAGTGCATAAGTTGAATAAAAGTTCCTGTTAGGGCTTTCAATTCCTGGATCAAAAATTACCTTTCAGTTGACTTTTCGCCTTCTTCATGTACATTTATAATATAGTTAAGCCTCTGTGGGCAATATTACTATAAATAAAGATGCTATGCATTCACTGCTCAGTTGCTAAAACTTATAAGTCATAAAGACATTAGAAATCTATTCATTTCAAAACAAAATGTTGACTAAAGCTTTGCAGGCTGTTATTTAATGCACCAAGCAGCCCACATTTAAAATGTTAAAACATTTATTACCTAAAAGTGACCCAAAGAATATCTGCAATGACTAAGGCAAAAAAAAAAAAAAAAAAAAAAAAAAAGCCTTAATTTTCTTTGATAAGCACCCTAGTTTTTCAAGTAAAAAACAGTAATAAAATATTATATGACAAAGAAACAAAAAAGGAAAGACCCAAGAGTTACATATTAAAACCTCTGAAGCTGAATAATGGAAAGGAAACTCCTTATTTCTTTCTTCTTGTTAATTTATCTCCAGTACCTGAGTTAAAGCATAAAGCAGCAAGAGTGCAAGTGATTCCAAACAACTTGGAATTTTATTGTAAACATCCCATAAAGAATGGCAACAAATTAATCGTTTTTTGTCTTTGAAGATAATTGCTTAAATGACTGGTAACTGCCAAACAAAACATCTTTTATAAACCAAGCCAGTTAGTTTATCTTTCTTTACTGAATTTTAGTTTAATGGACATTTTGTCCATATATAGCATCGCATCAACTATTAACTCAATGACTTTCCATCTTAAAATTTTATGGATACTAAGAACAAACATAAGGTACAGTTTTGTTAATACTTTGTAAGGGATTACAAAAGACAAAGATGGTAAGTTACAGGACAAAGAAATAAATTACTGATTGCCATCACCACAGTATTGTTTAAAGAATTAACATTTCTAGTACTGCCTGCTTAATGTGCATCTGGTGACATATGTAAAAACACATTTCCCAACTGGGTTTCTAAATATTTTTGTATGTGATTTTAAAAGTCAATTACCAATGGTGATTATATGTATCAATAGTTTTATTTTTTAGAAAATACTTATCATGCTTTTATATGTCAAAGTCTCATATTATAGATTTAATTAAGATAGGTATAAGAATAACAAATGGGCATACATATAAATAAACACACCTTAACTCTAAACTGCAGGGCCTTTCTACTGTACTTCTCCCATCAGTGATTCATAAATTGCCAGTCTTGTTGAAGTATGCTAAATTAGATGCAGTCTTCATTGCAGTAAGAGAAGTGAGGATAAAAGTAAGCAGGAATGATTGAAAAGAAAATAATCAAGGATAAGGCTATATAAGAAATAAATGTCTAGGAACTTGAGGGCAATTCATATTTCACAAAATACAGCACCATGAAAATAATTAACTTTATATTAGAATTTAAACAAAACTTGGTAAACTTTGTAATTAAAACTTAGTAAAGAAACTTTACTAAGAGATAAAAATTTAAAAAAGCATGAAAATATTTTCACACTAATTTTTAAAACAAGCCTTAAAAGTGATCATACTCTATTTCAATAAAACTTTTGTAAAACCTCGTGTACCACAAAAATGTTGGGGATGGGGTTAACATTTAAAACTGAATTTTAAATGTCAAAAGTTCCATTCCCTCCCCCAGAACTGAACTATATTCATTTTGGAACTCAAAATGTTAGTAATTGTTTAAAAGGCTGGATATCAAAGTAAACTGAAAATTATACAGGATGTAAGTTTCCCTTTTGTGGATGTGAAAATTCCAACGTTAAAGATAAGTACCAGTTGGTAAATGTGCATAAAATAATTCCCAAGATATATACGCAAGTAATAAAGGTGTTTATCACTACCACAAACATACAAATTTTGAAAAATGCTCAAAAAGTTTTTATCAAAAACTAAGAAGTGGCATTCACATTTTTCTTTTCAATCACTCTGTTATTGTCTGATGACAACCTATAGGATTACAACAAAAACAACAAAATAACAAATCACTCAAATTTACTTCAAAGTATTACAAGGCTGAGTTAGATATCTGAGCACACAATTGTGCATTATGAGATTTATGAATTTTACTCAATTTCTTAGCCTCTGGGTGAAACAAAGTGCTGTATGAAGAATTCTAGCACAAGCCTGATCTCTGGGAAGGGAAACAGAAAAAGAAACAAGTGAAGGAGAGATAAATTAAAAAAATAGAGGGACACATGTACATGATAAAAACCTAGTTTATCTAGAAGGCATAATGAAATGGATGATCAAGCAGTATATATACAGGCTAAGTGCTTTAAACAGAGGCAAAGAATTGGTAGGCTGTGAATACAGCTGTCTTCCATACAAAATATTCTTTTTTTAATGTCCAAGACAAAGTGTGTCAAGTTGGAAAAAAATCTACACACACACACACACACACACACAAATTTAGTAATTAGGCTGATAGGCTAGTGAATGTTTTGGAAAGCATCCTATTGCTGGAAGAGTTACACACAACAAGACATAGAACACACAATTCTGTTTTCATAAACAGATACACATGTTAAGATCTTAAAGCTGGGAATTAAAAGATTATTAGCATTTATGAGAAATATTATAGTTCAGTGACTATTAATATCCAGCATAGGATTAGGTTTATACATGTGTATGTTCTCATGGACCTAAATATAAGTTTATTTCTTAGCAATTCATTTAAGATTTAGACTTTTCTTCAAAATTTTCACCTCATTTCCTACTTGCTTTGCTATGCCTGAACCTGGTATTATTTAGGTTTAATGATACACTAAAAAATTAAAGTGTACAATATTCAATGTGATACAAATTACAACACATTCACAGGAGGCGGCGTTACAAACAAGCAAAGTATAAATTGGGGGGAAAGTGTTCAGATATAAAAGTAAAAATACTATCTTCCAAACTTTTATTTTCACACGTATTAAAATAATTTGCATGCAAACAGAAAATAATCTGTTTGTTTTGTAATAAATGGTAAATATGCTCATCTAACATACCCTGGTGACTTTTAAATCCTAATAACTGAAATCAATATTATAGCAAAATGCTGTTCACTAGTATTTTCACAGTATTTCACTACATATAAAATGTGCTTACAAATGTCTTCAGCCTTATTATTCTAATCATCTAAACCTAGAAAATCTTGACATATGGGAAATAAATGTGGCATTTTTATTTTTCAAAATAAATTATAAATAAAGCTTGAGATAGCTAAAATCACACAAATGGCAATTCTTCTACATTTGGAAGGGTCAGCTCTTCATAGAAGAATGTCAACAAAAAATTTCACACTAAAATGATACACGTAATACATGTTTGGGTATATCCATGAATTTAAGTAACTATGTTACTTTGATTAGGGTAAGTCAAAGTATTATTGATTCTAGGAAAACACAGACACAAATTTAGTCTAAATGACCATGAGATGAATAATTAAAATAGTACATTTTAGCAAAAATCAAATGCAGAGTTTCAAATGTGAATGTTTTTGAATCTATAGTATGGTTAAAAGTGTCAGCTGAGTTTAACCAGCAGTAGTTTTGGTTTAGTGAAAAACAACAACAACAACAACACTACAACAACAACAAAAAAATCAGCTTGATCTACTGTTCAGTAACAGAAGTTAGTGCCATTAACAATTCACAACAATACTTTCTTAAAGCCTGAACATCATTTCTACTGCAAGTGAAAATTGCTTAAAGTTAGTACAGGACCAACCCCCACCTGATCCAAACAAAAAGAGCAAAGTTATGTGTGTACTCCTTCCTTTGCACTTAAGGATTTTCAGATGCACAAAATGATTGGAAACATGAAACAAACACATTAGTTTAAGAAATATCCTGGGATTACTAGGCATACATGAAGTTTGTTGTTTTTTTTTTTTTTTAATCTCCAAAGTCTGATCTAAGTGCAACAAATCTGCTGTTACAGTAACAGAGATTAATATTATCCCACTCACCTTAACAAATTAGTGAATCTGCAATTTCTCAAATTTGAGGATTAAAATTCATCTTGGAACTCAAGCTCATTTATGGAATCATGTGCACTCTACTGCTGTAAACAAGACCATAAGGGTTTTAAAGATTTTTTTAATCTATAAAATAATGACTTGAATATCAATGTGCAGTGAAATGAGGTTCTTTTCTAAAAGAATATAACAGAAGAACCCTTTGGAATGGTATGAGCAAAACCTATTAAAGTTGCCTCAAAATATTTGCTAGCCAAAACATTCCAATTCAAACTAGCTGTTTTGTTACATTTTAAAATTCAAATGAAAACCAATCACTCACAGCTGTAAATAGCAAGTGGTAGCAGAGATACATAAGCAGTAGACCAAGTCTACTTACACAAGTATGTACTAAAAAAAGCCTAAGGTACAGCATACTACACTTATGAAAGTTTGTTAATTACAACTATTAATTTGAGAACCAATACAATTATTAACAACCTCTCAGCTTATAACATATGAGTATTCATTCCTACCAAGCTTGTTCTATTTTTTTAGTTAGTAATGAATAACAGCATCTATTTTCCTTAACGTTTCCAGTAGTTGTAGTTAATAGAGGTAGCTGAGCTACTATTCAAAGAAATTATTCTTTGTGGATGAGGATTTTTTCAAATGTTTAAGTTATTCTTTAAACTACACAAGTTCTATTAATGCAATAAAATATAATAGGAAAAAGAAAATGGATGCAAGAAACTTTTGCATTTGGCACCTTGTCTAGATTGATACCTCAAATATTCTTTTTTAATAAAGTTAATGCAAACATCAGGACACACCACAAAGATTTGCTACATATTTACAAGGCACCAACCCTTTCTCACCTTTAACATGAATTAAGCAAATCAATGAAAAGCATATCAAGATCCCCCCCACCCCCAAAAAACTGTAGTATAAATATATACTTCAGTTCAGTACAATTCATGAAAGTTTGGCCTGGGAAGAGTAAAATAATCCAGATCGTTCTTACAATATAGAAACTGTAAACATTTAATAGCTGCCTATAGGATTGGTGTATTGTGCAAAAGTTATTATTACTGGGTACAAGAATTAAAATGGCAAAAACAAACTATATAAAACTCTGTAAGAAGGTGCTATACTTCTGTGATACAAAAGCAAAAGAGGGATATTCAATTGAGATAAAAATGTCATGCTACTCTTAAGAAGCTGAATGCTCCTTTAATGTAGTAAATCTGTAGTGTGTTTGTGATGTGTTGTGTGTGTGTGTCTATATGTGGGCAGAATTTTTTTTTTTAATTTAAGGCCTAATGAGTAAGGCTTGTTTGAACAAATGAAGTGTGGAGATCAAAAGTCTTGAAACAAATGTATACTGGCATAATGGAAAAGCACCAATGTGAAAGGAAGCAGAAGTCCCCACACAACTTGCTTTGTAGATTTCCTAGTAAATTCCCTGCAGTAGAAGGCCATTGAGTTTTTTTAAATTACTCTAAATTTATTAACTGTTAATAATTCCATCCCATGAGATGGCTAACCCTGGCTTTTTCTGTCATTTTACGCACTCTGCCTGATCTGGATGTACCAAGATTCAGAGGATCTTCAGTGGACACAAAATTGTCATTATCAGAATCATCATTATATAAAACAGTCCTCCTGCCTTGGTTTCTTGTTTTGATTCGAGGCAGTCTACTGAAACGTCCTGAAAACATGGTATCAAATTCATCATCTGCAATACGTGCACGTTTGGCTCTGGTGGCTCCTCTAGAAGCACCTCTTCCTCCTCTCCCTCTCCCTCTCCCTCTAGTGGCACCTGCACCTCTTCCTCGACCTCCTCGTCCCCTGCCTCCTCTTCCTCGGCCTCCTCTACTCCATCTACCCCATCTGCCCCATCTGCCCCTTCCTCCTGTGCCTCTTGTCTTCCAGTTTCTTTTTCCATTGGCATATTGCTTTCTGAGTTTTCTTTTAGGCCTGGTTTGTATGAATTTGCTATAGTCATGGTCTCCATCTACGTAATCTTGATCTGTTCTGGAAGTTGATTCAGAATCAGAATCAGAACCACAGGTACTTTCAGAACTTAAACTGGATCCTAACTCTCCACTCTCTGAGGAGGACAAATGTGATTTCTCTTTTGTTTCTTTTTTCTCTTTCTCTTCTCTTCCCATGCTTTCATCTTCTTCTGATGCACTAAGTAGTTTTCTTTTGATTCCTGTCCGAGGTTCTCTGCCATCACCATTTGTAAGGGGTCCATCAAGGGAGTGATCTAAATCAAGATGAATAATTTTTTAAAGTTAAGCTTTGACACTGAAGATGGTTATTTAAGTTCAAAAGTAAAATAAAAGTTCCATCAAAAAATACTTAGCACCCAAAGATAGGGTAAAATAATGGAGAGTATTGGAACATAAATTTAAATCTGTTAGAAATGGAAGATACTAATGTTCTGAGTTTTGTCTAATTGTGTTTTTTGGGGGGAGGCAGGGAAGAGAGTATGGAGGGATGATGGGTGGTGAGGAAGTTGGGCAGAAATTTCAAGGGCTTGAGCTCTATAAAGAATTATGTAAGAACATGTATCAGAATAATTTCATTAATTCAATGAACAAATATTTACTGATTACCTACTATATGGCTGGAAGTTTGAAATATGGCAATAATGAGACAAAGTCCTTGCTCTTTGAATTTATATTTTAGTGGGGAAAGCTTGATAGACAATAAAATAAATTAAAAAAATTAATATAATTTCAAGTAATGATACATGATATAAAGAAAAAAGAGAGTAATAAAAAATCTCAAGTATATACATGGTGGGTACTTTAGATAAAGACTTTCATGTAGAGGTATTATCTGAGAAAAGAACTGAATGAAATGAGATCTAGGAAAAGAACATTCCATTGGAGGAAACAGAAACCCAGTGAAATTGGAGTGGAAGAAAAAACAGAGTAGTGGGAGATAACTGCCAGTGGTAAAGGGTTTTAGAACAAGAGAATGACAGGATCTGATTTTTTTTTTCACAGAGCACTATGGTTCTTTTACATAGAATGAATTATGGAAGGGATTAGAAGCAGAGACCAGTTGAGAGACCATTGCAGTAGTCTAGGTAAGACATGATAAGGGATGTACCAATAGAGGTGATGAGAAGTGATTAGATTTGGAGTGTTTCCTTCTAGAGGAGCCATCAGAGCCAACCTTTTATTTTTCAAGTTTGAACTGACAGGAACTGCTGATGGATTGGATGTCAAGTGTTAAGCACAGAATGAAGGTCAACTCCAGGGTTTTATGGCCTGAGAAACTGGTTGAATGGAAGGCAGCTATGCTAACCACTATACCACCAACGCGAAACTGGTTGAACGGTAGAGATATTATGCTGAGTTGGAGAACACTGAAAGAGGAACAGGTTTAGGCAGTATGGTAGAAAAAAAAAAAATCAAGATTACAGTTTTAAATACTACTAGAGTTCCAAGCAAAGACAATTAAAAAAAAAAAGAAAAAGAAAAAAAGCAGGTAGATACACCTGTCTAGAGATCAGGGGAGACTCATATATAGGTAGAGATATAAGTTTGGAAAATTTCAGTAAGAGATAACATTTAAGGTCAAGAGAACTTATGGTGCTTATTAAGAGAGCAAACAAAGAAAGAGAATGTAGCTGATGACTGAGACTTGGGATATTCCAACATCTAAAGATAAAGAACAACTGGCAAAGATAACTGAGAAGGAACAGCTAGTGAGGTAGGAGGAAAACAGGAGAGTGGACTGAAAAGCTTGGAAGGAGCAAAGATTAGGGTTGTATGGTAACTATAGTGACAAGATTAGTTTAATAGTCTAGGTGTTATAGACTGGATTGTGTTCCCCTCTCAAAAAAATACATATATTGGTTTTCTGGAGGAAGATGGAGGTGGAATAGGAGGACCCTAGGCTCACCTTGTCTCACAAACACAACTAGATAACAATCAAATCATCCTAAATACCCCAGAAATCAACATGAAGACAGAACAAACTCCACAACTGAAGGGAGAGAAGAGGCCATATTAAATTAGGTAGGAAGTATGCAGATGTGGTTTAGGGGAGAAATGGATCATGGGTACAGCAGAGGGGAGGGAGCTGTGGTCACAGAGAAGGGTGAGAGGGAGTAGAGCACCCAGCAGAATGCACAAGAAGAACATTTACCCAAAGCCATTGGCTTGGAAAATGAGAGGGGCCGATTTTCATGAGTTCTTAAAACCAGTGAGGCTTAAAGCCCAGAATTTTAAAGGTTGGCAGGCTTGACTGGGACAAAGCCTTGAGGGCACTGCTCTGCTCCTGGAGAGAGAAGGCACACAAACAACCTGGGGACAGAGCATGGAAACACCTGGGACCACAAGAGGGAGATTATTCACTCTCCTTCGAGGGCTTCCCTGAGAGGCAGCTTTCATAGAGACGCCTCTCTAGAGACAAAGGAGCTGGCCAGAGCCATTTCCCTCCAGTACCCCTCAGCATAAACCCAGAGCTACCAGTGGGAAGCAGTGTAGCCCTGACACTGGCTAATTAACTTGCTTACACTAAGCCTCACACCCCTGCACTCTAGTGGGATGGCCCTTCTCAGTCAAGCTTGCCTAAGTCCCAGCATGGTGGGCCCATCCCCCAGACGACCAGCACAAGCCCCTACCACACCATGTCTCTAAAAGCCTGCTGCAGTTTTAAAGGTCACCAGGATTATCTGGGATACAGCCTGTAGGGCACTGCGCTGCTCCTGGAGAGAAGGTAGGCAAAAAAACCTGGAGGCAGACAGCTTGAAAACAGCAAACTAGAAAATGCTTGGGGCACACAGGTGGGAGATTATCTGCTCTTCTCAGAGTGCTTCCCTGAGAGGCAACATTCATAGAGACTCCTTTCAAGGAACAAGCGCTGACTGGTGCCATTTTTCTCCCCTGCCCCTCAGCATAAACACAGAGCCAGCTGCAGGAAGCACTGCAGTGCCTATACTGGCCGCCTAGCATGGCTACACTGGGTCCCATACCCCAGCTTTCTGATGAGACTGCCCTTCTCAGTCAAGCTTGCCCCAGTACCAGTGTGGTGGGCTCCTCCCCCAGAAGATAGCAGAAACCCCTGCCCAACCATGTTTCCCTACAAGAGTTCTACAAGGCTTCAGTTCGAGTGGAAATAGTATCAGGTCTCATTTAACAAGCAGACTAGAGCACTAGTTAAAACTTGCCACCTTTATGGGGCGCCTGGGTGGCTCAGATGGTTAAGCATCTGTCTTCAGCTCAGGTCATGATCCCAGGGTCCTGGGATCAATCCCCACATCGGGCTCCCTGCTTGGCAGGGAGCCTGATTCTCCCTCTCCCTCTGTGTACACCTTCCCCTACTTTTGCTCTCTCTCTCTGTGTCAAATAAAAAAAAAAAAACAAAAAACAAAAAAAACAAACGCCAAATTTTGGCCAAGGAACAAATACTGTACACTGCAAGCAGGGAGAGCCTCTGCAGGTAACTGGGCTGAAGGACAGTTCAGCCAAAACACAACAGCAGAGCATATGTAGCACAACCAGAGAGAAATCTCAGAAGTGACAGGTACTGGAAACTATATGACTGCTTCTTCATAAAGCCATTAATTTCAGGAGCAGGAAACATAACTAGTTTCCTAACACACAGAAAAAGGCAGAGACCTAGACAAAATGCCAAGATGGAGGAATTCATCCCAAGTGAAACAACAAGAAAAGGTTACAGGCAGGGATCTAATCGAAGCAGATATAAGTAATATGCCTGGTCCAAAATTTAAACAACAATCATATGGTACTTACTGGGCTTCAGAAAAGAATGGAAGACATCAAAGAGACACCACAGAGATAAAAGAGCTAGAAAACAGTCAGAAATGAAGAATGCTATAAATGAGATTGGAACAAGCTTGATGCAATGACAAGCAGGCTGGAAGAAGCAGAGGAATGATTTAGTGATATAGAAGACGAAATAATGGAAAATAATGAAGCTGAACAAAAGAGAGAGAGAATTATGTAATATGAGAATAAACTTAAGGGACTTAGTGATTCCATCAAATGTAAAATCATTCTTATTACATGAGTCCCAGAAGAAGAGAGAAAAGGAGGCAGAAAATTTATCAAGAAATAATAGCAGAAAACTTCCCTAATCTGGGAAAGGAAACAGACATCCAGGCCCAGGAGGCACAGAGAACTCCCATCAAAACAAAAGCAGGCCAACACCAAGACATATTGTAATTAAACTGGCAAAATCTAGTGATAAATAAAAAATCTTAAAAGCAGTAAGACAAAAGAAATCCTTAACTTATAAGGGAAGACCCATAAGGCTGGATGGAGATTTCTCAACAGGAACTTGACAAGGCAACAGGAAAAATCTGCAGCAATGAACACTATCCAGTAAGGCTGTCATTCAGAATAGAGGAGACATAAGGAGTTTCCCAGATAAACAAAAACTAAAGGAATACATGACCACGAAACCAGCTCTGCAAGAAATATTAAAGGGGAATCTTTGCATGGAAAGGAAGGACCAAAAGTGACAAAGACTAGAAAGGAACAGAGAAAAATCTCCAGATACACTGACAAAACAAGTAATAAAATGGCACTAAATACATATATATCCATAATTACTCTGAATGTAAATGGACTAAACACTCCAATCAAAAGACAGGCTGTCAGGATGCAAAAACCACAATAAAACCCCAAAAAACCCAAACAGACAAGAACCATCTACATGCTGCCTGTAAGAGACTGTTATTTAGACACAAAACACCTGCAAATTGAAAGTGAGTGGATGGGGAAACATTTATCACACAAATGCATGTCCACAGTAAGCTGGAGTAGCAATACTCATATCAGATAAACTAGACTTTAAAACAAAGGCTGTAACAAGAAATGAAGAAGGTTATTATATCATAACAAAGCAGACAACACAACAAGGAGATGTAACAATTGCAAATATTTATACACCTAACATGTGATCACCCAAATATATATAACAATAAATAACATAAGGAAATTAATAATAACACAGTAATAGTAGGGGACATAAACACTCCACTTACATCAAAAGACAGATCATGTAAACAGAAAATCAACAAGGAAACAATAGCTTTGAGTGCCACACTGATTCAGATGGAGTTAACAAATATATTCAGAACATTCCATCCTAAAACAGCAGAGTATAGAGTCTTTTCAAGTGCACATGGGACATTCTCCAGAATAGATCACATCCTACATCACAAATCAGGCCTCAACAAATACAAAAAACACTGAGATCACACCACGCATCTTTTCTGAA